TGGATCATATACCATAATAGAGTCCATAATATACCCTATATGTTTGAATCATGATGATCCCATATCCATACTCCAAACATACCCATGATGATACCATACCCATAATCCGTAATATACCCATATTGCTGTTTTTTTCATATAATCCCATGTTTTATCCACACATCTGCCCCATCCCCTCCTGCAGAAAGAGTTGGAGTCCCTGGTTGCCGTACCATCCTCGATGGGAAGCCATTGATAGGAAGATTGTACTTTTAAGTAATCAATTGTCAATGGCCATTTCAGGAACCTAAAATGGAGGTACCTACCATATATCCATATATAAGGCCTATATAAGGCCTATGTAAGGGAATATCCCAACAAAATATGGCCTTATATGGTACAGTACCTCCATTTTAGGATCCTGCAATTCCCATTGAAGTAATACTATTAATATTATCTATCAATGGTATTAAGTATCAATGTCTTCCTATTTTCCTAAGCCATTAAGATTCAAATTGTTGATACTTGTCTGATACTTGTTTCTTTTAGGGAGCCATTCAGACACCAATAAATTGGGGGTGGCAATTTTTTTTGGGATTTGTTTCCCGTTTTAATTCCCAAAAAAAATAGCCCTCCATAAATTGGTATGTCTATACTTTGGCTCGCTGCTTTACCTTGGCTGCTTTGAAAAGGCTTTCAGATTGTGCTCTAATCCACCGTGATGGGATTTTGTGGGAACTGGATCTTTGGCCACTTGACTTTCAGTCAATGCAGGGCATGTCGGAACCACTGTGCATGGGAATGCTCTATGCCCGACCGTCATGTCACGTTTTTTTGTTACGTCTGTCACATAGCAAGCCTGGCAAGGAAGCCTGGCAATGGAAAATATCGATTGTTCGGAAAATCATCCAGAATTTGAGGAGGATTTTCCAGTCAGATTTCCAGCGGTCTCTGTGGAATGTACCCACCCTTACCACAAATCCCTACGTTCCTGGAAGATCATCGTAGCTTATCCCATGAATGAGATGTATTTAACATAGCCATGGTATAGATGGCCCATAGAAATAGATGGTTTACCTGGGTTTACCTAGCTATAAAATGGGTGGATCTTTCCATGGCTAGCCCTGTTAGTCATAACCAGATGCTATAGACGATGACACCATCGATTTCCATTGCATTTGATGACACCGGAGGGTGTCACCATCATTTCTTTGAAGGCAACCCGGCACCCATGGCGGCAGCACCGCTGTCCCGATCCGCATCGATCCGCCACGTCACGCTGGCACAGACGAAGTGGGGCGTGGTGCCAGTGTATCCCTCGATGCAGTTTTCAATACATTTCTCCTGGGCCGGGAACGACCAAAATGTATCGGTTCCAACGACGCTGGCTATAGATTATCAATGGCTGACAATGGTTGTAAATAACCACATGTGATTAAATGATTATTAAATGGTCTATCTATCTAATAACCATTTAATAAGCATTATCAATCATGATTTACCATCTTTATATGATATGCCAAATGGTTGTGTAAGCACTAATAGCCTATACATATACATATCCTATATATAAATATAGGTTATCAATATCCTATCAAAAAATATATCGTATACCATGGCTTACATGAAAATGTGGGATCTGGCTGCCATAAGCAGCGATGATTTCCTCATGAAAAAATGTGTCTGTCTTTTCCACAGCGCAGCAAGCTGTTTATGGCACAAAGTTTGCCACAGAAAAATAGCCATCCAAAATGTTCCACAACAAATGTGGCAAGGCAAAAAATCTTGACTTTCTGAATGAGTGGCTAAGTTGGTTGTAAGCAGATTTTGTTCCTGTTTTTATGTGGAATGTCCCATGCGTTTTATTCCTGGCTTTGTTTGACACTGTACCCCCAAAATATCAATCATGGGTGAACTAAGAAAGCTGGGATTCTTGTTATCTAAGCTCTAAAAGACATGTAAGTAACATACGAGATTAAGTAGGCTGTTTAACATGCAATAACCTACATTCATATGTACACACATATATATATATTATGTTATATATATATATGAAACATGGAATATATTGATAGGATATGATAACCACTGAAGAAAGTGCGTTTCCGTCACCTGTTCAGAGAAATGATCAGATCATGGGGTTGAAATTCGTGGATGTTACCCGGCCTGGTAAACTTACCAAAAAGCTGTTGAAACTGGCCATAGAAACAGTGAACTTTCCCATGAAAAATGGTTAATATATAGATAATCTATGTTTAATATATGGATAATCTATGGTTAATCTATGGTTAATATATGGCTAATCTATGGTTGATGGTTAATAGTTACCCTCTGGTAAACATACATATATAGCTATTGAACATGGCCCAGTCGAAATAGTGAATTTTCCCATGAAAAATGGTGGATCTTTCCATAGTTGTTTGTAAACGTTTACCAGAGGGTAGATTGGATGCAACGTAGGGGATATAATCAATGTGAGGGGCTTTATAATTCCCAAATGGATGTTAATAGATATTAAACTCATCGTAGTTTGGTGCTGATTTGGATTATTAATGAATGTTATTGATAGGGTCTTTAATGGATCTTAATGGAGTTCAATGGTTGAAGTTTAAAAATGGTATATTCTCAAGGATAGATTATCTATTTTCCTAGATGTGTCTCCTCAAGTTTCCGTTTCCAGACTGGTAATCAAACATGGCAATGGAAAATCGTCCATTTAAGATATCATTTAGTTGATGTTCACATGTTTGTTTCCACTATCACCCCATTTCGTTCAAGGATTTTCCCACGAAAATCCCCACTAAAAGTTCAGGGGTTCAAGGACTTTCAACCCCATGTTGACACCAGAGGGTACCCTTAGAAAAACCAACAAAGATGCAGAAAACCCCGCTTCGGAGATTGGTGGGGAAACACCCCCCACCTTCCCAACCTATTGCATTTTCTATTATATGATATTATACTAATATCTATTGACTCTACAAGTATGATCTCTTATTGACAAGCCCCAACACAAAACAAAACAAAATGATGATCTCTTTACATCTTTTTACATTAACCCAACCCCAACCCATCCCCATCCCCAACCCATCCCCAACCCCCCATCCACCATCCTGGAAGAAGAGCTCGCTGCAGTTGTTCGTGGCACGGTCGCTGGGCAGCGGCAAACCCTCCGTGCAGGGCGAGGCCGTGCAGCTTGGCAGCTGCCCCAGCAGCTCCACACTGCTGCCTCCGGGGCATGGTGAAAGGATGGCTGTTTTTAAATAAAGGCTTAATATATATATATATGTGTGTGTATATAATATAATATAATATAATATAATATAATAGAATAGAATATAATAGAATATAATAGAATATAATAGAATATAATAGAATATAATATGCATAACTATATATGTAACATGTATGTGTATATATATATATACATAGTTTAGTTTCTAGAATGTTTAGAGTACTAACAGGTATGTTATGTTGATATTGGGTTCTTTCACAGCGGACTGGCGGCGAAACATGATCCAATGTTCCATGAACGAAAAAGCGGCGATAAGGGTTGACTACTATTATGGTTATAACTATTATCCATTCATGTTGACCTACGATTTATCAATGCCCCCTGAATAAAGCTATTTTTTTCCAAAATTAATAATAAATGACCCCTAAATAAAGCTAATTTTTTTTGTCCCTAAACCCAGATTTGCCCAGATGGGGCTGACCAAAACCTTTATTCAAAAATGATAGCTGGAAATTGTCAAGAATGATGGATGCTCTTTCTATTCAAAACCTTTACTTAAACTTCTCCAAAATCAACTCCAAATCAACTCATCAAGGGTACCCCCCATGAGGTGCCTTAGCACCAATTAGAGTTTGACCCTGAATAAAGCTACTGAGCTTCCCCCTCCCGCTGATCAAGAAATGAATACTAAATCAATACTAAATCAATACTAAATCCATGAAATGAGTACTAAACCAATACTAAATCCATGAGATGAATACTAAATCAATACTAAATCCATGACATGAATACTAAATCAATACTAAATCCATGACATGAATACTAAATCAATACTAAATCCATGACATGAGTACTAGATCAATACTAAAACAATTGTTGGATTCCTGTTTTTTTTTGAAATTGCATTTTATGTATTTGTTTTCAATTGTGGTAATTGAAAACCTTTACATACAAACATGTTTGATGGTGGCTTTAAGTCTATTTAGGGTCAAAGAGAGGGGGGGGCCTATTTATAAATCAGAGGTGGACATTAATGGTTAATGCCTGCATCTGAATGGACACGCACAAATCTGAGAAGTGCAACATAGACGTTTGAGCCAGCTTGGATTGACATGGCTTACATCAAGCCTTTTTTGCCCGAGAAAACAGGTGAGATTTGCGTTTGATTTGGTGAGGGTTATGAGCCCAACCCAATAAACCATGAGCGACTCGTCAATGCGTACTGTTCCTGATGATTCCCTTGCCGTTCAACCATGGCCATTGCCCAGTGGTTCGCCTGTGTCCCTTGGACCACCAGCTCAGACAGCTTCCATGGAGGAGGTGAATGTCTTTTGGTCTGACAGGATCAAGGATGAATTGGCCCTGAGGGCAATGAGACCTACTGGATTGCCAGCGCTGGAGGATGGAGGTGTGGGTGGCGGAATGGGATCAACCATGGTACCTTTTGAGTATGGAGGTCGTTCAATGGAGAATACCCCTCCTAGGATGGCTCTAGGCAATGATGACCAACGGATGAATGTTGTTGGCCATCTAGCAAATGAAAATGTTAGACTTCGTCAGGAACTTGATGCCCTGAGGATGTTGGTTTCTCCTGTCAATGTAGGACCCAGGAACTTGGCTGGATCTTTTGCTGGCGTGTCAGATTCTCGTGGTGCTCTTGGACTCGGGGCTCCTATGAATTCTGGCTCAACTGGTGTTTTGGCAGCTTTGGGTCTTGGCATGGCACACGGATCTAGCGCTTTGAGCACTGGTGGAGCAGTTCTTCAATCGATCTTGGGTCGTAGCATGCATGTTGCTTCTGTTCATCATGGAGGCTCTAATGTTCATGAGGGTCCTATCGCTCTTGGAGGCTCCACAGCCCAACGAGGTCCATGTCCCCTTGGAGGTCCAATTGTTTCACGTGGTCCTGAAGTTCTTGGTAGTCCTACTGTTCAACAAGGCTCTGAAATTCCTGGAGGTCTTACAGCCCAACGAGGTGCTGAAGCTGCTGAAGGCCCTGGTGTTCCTCAAGGCTCTGAAGTCCGAGGAGGTAATGGTGATGCAATGGAGGGCAGCGGTGGCCATCCACCATCTGGACCTGATCGTTCTGGAAATTCCTCTCAGTCCCATGCGAATGCACCCGGTGGAGGTGGTGATGATCCTCCCAGGCATGGCGGCTCCGTGTTCGTCGGTGGTGCTTCTGGGGGGCAAGGGGGACCAGGATGGCCAGGAGGTTTTGGAGGTGGTGGGGCCGGAGAAGTGCCATCTTGGGTTGCAACCCTCTTGTCTCAGCAGGAGTCCATCCGCACGGTTGACCTGCCATGTCTGACTGATTTGGGGGAGTCTGAGATTGGTCCTTTGGTGGCGGGTGATTGGCTGACTTCAATTACTCCTTTGATGAAGGATCTGAGTCCTTCTTCGGCGACTTGGTGGGATGCGGTGCTGACTGTGGCGGGTGATTCATACCAGACATGGCTCAACAGTGATCCATTGACAAGACTGAGGATCAATCCTGTCACTCCACCAGCATTTCTTAGGTCTCCGTTTGCTCGTGTTGAACAAAGGGCCCAAACCATTTTGCTGAAGGCCATTCCTGAATCTCTCCGTTCTGAAATCATCTCGAATCGTTCGATTGGTTCCATTCAGATCATCTTTCGGGTCCTGACTCGGTATCAGCCTGGTGGTTTGGCTGAACGTACTACACTGCTGAAGCAACTGGTGGAGATCAAAGCTCCATCCAATGTTGCTGGTGTGGTCAGTAGCCTCAGGTCTTGGAAAAGGTGGCTTGTTCGGGTTTCTGAGTTGGGAATCAATCCCCCTGATGCCACTTTGTTGATGTCAGCTTTAGATCGATTGGCCAATGTCCTCACAAAAGGGTCACCTCAGACTGGTTTTCGTTTGAGTTCAGCCCGTGCCCAATTGCAAGTGGATACATGCCCTTCTTTGCCCACGGTTTTGTCTTTTGCGGATACGATGATGGCTGAAGCAGAGTCTCTTTTCCATGGTGGCGCCACCTTGCCCATTGAGGGAGTCAAGGTGAAAGCTCTTTCATCTGATCAAGATCCGGCTCCATATCCAGCACCAAAGGTGGGGTCGAAGGATGATCAAAGCGGGGCCAAAGCGTGTCACTTTTTTGTCAGTGATGGAGGATGTAAGAAGGGTAAACAATGTACGTTTCAACATGTTTGGGGCAATGTGAACGAATATGGTCGTTGCTGGAACTGTGGGTCAAACCAACATCGACGTGAGAATTGTCCTGTTGCTGATCAACAAACAAAGGATTCAGCTTTGAAGGACAACGGAACCCAAAAACCCAGTGTTAAGAAACAGAAGAAGCCTGCTGTCAAGAAGGCCGAGGGTGGATCTACCCAGGCCAAAGAAGATTCTGGCGCTCAGGATGCTGCTCCCAAGATTGAGGAGGCCACGACCTCGAATGCTTCTGCGTCGTCTCATGGGGCATCCTCCCAGGATCAAGTTGCTGGTCTTCTAGTAGAGGCTACTCACTTGCTTCGGTCTATGAGGCCGTCTTTGAAGGCTGTGAAGTTGAGTTCGTTGCCTGCGGATCGATGTGGTCGTGCGTTGCTCGATGGAGGAGCAACTCATGCTCTTCGAACTGCGGTCTCTAAGGAAGAGTTCGACTCAGCAGTGCCTGTCCGTGTGGAGTTGGCTGCTGGAGAAGTTGTTCTTCGTCAGCTTCCGGGCTCTGATGTTCTCATCTCTGAAGAGGCCATCCAGACGATTGTGCCTCTTGGCAAGTTGATGCTCTTAGGCTACTCCGTGTCATGGGATGTGGATGGCTTCACTTTGAAATCACCATCCGGTGTAGTGATTGACACGCAACTTGAAGGTGATTGTCCGACGGTAGATGAGTCCATCGCTCTTGAGTTGATTGCGGAGCTTGAGGTCTAGATGCTGGAGTCTGAACGACGTTTGAAGGTCCTCCGAGGTGAAGATGTCAATGGCTTTGACAGTGATTTGCTGCGATGGCTTCAGAGTTTGAAGAGGCTTTTCCCTGAGGTGCCTGATGAGATCTTGGTGCAGATTCCACCAAGGAAGAAGTGGTCTGGTGACAGTGTTCCTTGGAATAGACGATGGAGAAAGCGTTTGCAATCGTCGCCAGCGTTAGTGCTTCATCTCTTTAGTGGAGGAGATCCCAAGTTTTGGCAGGAGGGTTTGGCACCACATGGTTTGACTGCACTGTGTGTTGACAAGTGCATTGATCCTGGACACGATTTGTTGCGTGACACCACGTATCATTTTCTTATGGACCTTTGTGAATCTGGTCGTGTTGAAGCTCTTCTTGGCGGACCTCCTTGCCGCACTGTTAGCAAGTTGCGTTTTCGTTCTCCAGGTCCTCCTCCTGTTCGAACCCGTCATGGGCCAGAAAGATTTGGACTCAAGGATCTCTCTTCGAATCTCCACGAAAGCGTTCTGCAAGACACTGTTTTGTGGCTGAGGTATGTCTGGCTCTATGCCCTTGCTCAGGACAGTCGTGATGCCAAGGTTGGTTTTCTCAAGGAGTCACCGGAAGACCCGGAAACCTACAAGAAGGATGATGATCCAGTTGAATATCCTTCTTTTTTCTCTTGGCCCGAATGGAGTTCCTTGAAGTCGAAGTACAACATCTTTGAAGTGTCTTTTGATCAGGGTCCCTTTGGCCATGAGACCAAGAAGCCGACGCGCTTAGGCACAAATCTTGGACTTCTTCGAGAATTACACGGTGTCCGTGGCCCTGGCACTGGTGTCCAAGATGATGGTGCTACCATTGAGCAGCGCATCCAACGTTCAAGAAGGTGGGCAGCTTGGGCCCCGCAGTTAAAGCTCAAAATCCTGGAGGCGGTGGTCGCAGAGTTCAAGGTGCCTCTTGTCAAGAAGCTCTCTGAGGCCCAGTGGCAACAACACCGAGCCAATGACCATCAGCCGTTTTCTTCTGAATGCTTTGATTGTCAGGTTGGGGGAGGTAGACACAAACCTCATCTCAAGATTCACAATCCTGACACCTACACCTTGTCCGTCGATGTTTGCGGTCCCTTCCAACAAGGACATGATCAGCTGATCTCTAAGGCGAAGTATGCTCTTGTGGGCGTCTTCACAGTTCCCATTTCCGAGGAAGGTCAGAAGCTTTGTCCAACGCCTTGGGACTTCATTCAAATCATCGAGAAGGATGCCGAGGAGCCATCACCTGAGGCTCCATTCAGAAGACCTTCGGACTCTGAAGATGTACCTTTCTTCCCAGAGATCGAGCATCTCTCGGCTGAGGAGTGTGCTGAGGGGGCGCTCTCTCCGGATGCCCGGCCAGAGCCGGATGGAGGTGAGGCTGAGATTGAGGAGGAAGGAGGAAAGAAGGATGGGGGAGAAGGGGAAGATGGGGGTCAGATTAAGGAATGGGAAGACCAGATCGATCCCACCAAGAAGGTCTATGTCAAGAACTTCACCCTGACTGAGATCCTCTCATCAAGAACTTCAACCTCTGTTCTTGCAGCCTTGAACAGAATGGTGGCCAAGTTGACCTACTTAGGTTTCAGTGCGCGCCGTCTCCACAGTGACAGGGCAGCCGAACTTTCTTCGAAGGCTGTCACAAGATGGGCTGAGCAGAAGGAGATCTTCCGAACTTTCACGTCTGGATCGGACTGGAAGTCCAATGGAAGAGTTGAAGCTGAAATAGGCATGCTGAAACGTGCCGCCAACATCGTCATGAAGTCATCCTGCGTGGATCCATCCTATTGGCCCCTAGTTTTTCGACATGCCGCTGAACGTCGCGGGCGTCTCCAGTTGGCTGAGTTGGGAATGAGAACTGGAAAGCTTTTGCCTTTTGGTCAGGAGGTTGTCGTAGGGACCAAGAAGTGGGAGGACTTTCAAGGTCATTGGAGGGCACGAAAGAAGAAGGCATGGATTCAAGGACCAGATGTCAGCATGTCGCTGACGAGTGGTGGTCACTATGTAGTGGATGAGGATGGCAAGTACATGCATGCCACTGACATTGCGTTGAATGCCGGCCCACGTCTTAGAATTGAAGATGATCCAAGTCCTCTCCCTGAGCTCGTTGAACTCTCTGCGAAGGCCTGTGAACATTCCTTTGATGAAGCCCCTCGACATCGAGTTCATGGCAAGCAGTCTTTGAAGTCTCTTGGACTCGATGAAGTTTCAGCGGATGATCTTCAAGACCGACTCCATCGAGGTTGTCACTTGGCCAATGTTGAGGCCAAGAATCTTGAGACCAACATGGACACGGCGGACAGTGTCATGTCTTCCTTGGCCGATTTGGACAAGGAGAATGGAAAGCTTGTGGCCTTTTTGAAAGCCATCAAGGAGTACGAGGAAGGTGAAGTTGCTGATGCTTGTGCAGCAGCAGTTCCCCCTGATGAGTTCCTCCAAACCAAGACCTACTCTCTCCATGAAGTTCGAAGAGATGTTCAACCTTGGATCGAGTCAATGAAGGCAGAGTTTGAGAGCCTTCTCAGTCACAAGGCCATTGAAGTGGTCACCAAAGAATGTGCTGAACGTCGAATGGAAGAAGCACGTCAAGTTGGAAAGCTTGTTGAGGTCATCCCAGCCAAAGGTGTGTTCACCCGAAAGGCCGGCTCTGGTAAGAGAAAAACCAGGGTAGTGGCCTGTGGCAATTGCATGTCAGAGCGCGAGACTGCTGATTTGTATGCTGCCGGTCTGGATGCAACCCAACTTCGCTGCATCCTCAAGGAGTCCACCCTTCAGAACTGGGAGATTGGTGTGTGCGACATTCGCACGGCTTTTCTTTTGGCACCAACTAGTCAGTCCGAACTGATTGTCATTCAACCTTCTCGCATCCTTATCGACTGTGGTGTCATCCCGGAGGGCACTATGTGGATTGTCACTGGAGCCCTTTATGGTCTCACCACTGCTCCAAGGGACTGGGGAGGCTTTAGAGATGCAACTTTGACGTCATGCCGCTGGTCTGGCCTTTTGAATGGTTGTCGGGTTCAATACCAATTTCAGCAGCTCTCTGATCCCAATGTTTGGCAGATTCTCAGCACTGCAGACGGCTCTGATTCAACAGTATGTGGATATCTTGCGGTGTATGTAGACGACCTATTATTCGTTGGTCCTGATTGTGTCATTGATGATGCTTTTGCCAGGATCCGTTCAATGTGGGTCACTTCTGATTTCGAGAAGGTGAGCTCTTCTTCTTCTTTGAAGTTTTGTGGAATGGAGCTTCATCGCACCCCTGAGGGCCTGAAGATCCACCAGGAGTCCTATGTCCATGAACTCCTTCAGCGACATTCTGTAGAGATATCATCCCCCTACGTTCGACTTCTTGATGATCCAGCTCCAGTTTCTGATCCCTCCCCAACTGACGTCAAGAAGGCACAAGCTATAGCTGGCGAATTGCTTTGGGTGGCAGGTCGATCTCGACCGGATGTAGCGGCAGCCGTTCACAAGATGAGTCAATGGGTTACTCGAAATCCATGTTGGGCCATTCAATGTGGCTATGAAGTCCTCAAGTATCTGAAGCATTCTCCCAACTTGGGCTTGGTCTACTCTGGTGTTCGACCTCGAGACCCTGATGATGATCCACCGAAGTGTCCAAGGAAGGCGGGATCCATTGAAATCCTTTCAGATTCATCGTTTGCTCCGTCCGGGGAGAATAGCATCTCTGGTTTGGTGATTCTGTTTGCTGGAGACCCTGTTCAGTGGCACACTCAGAAACAGAGCCTTGTGGCTTTGAGTACAGCAGAAGCTGAGCTGTGTGCTATGGTGGATGCACTTCAAGCTGGACGTTCTGTGCGCAGCTTTGTAGAGTTGATTCATCCTGGTACTGACATGGTGATGTTTGGAGATAACCGCGCAGCATTGATTCTTGCTGGCGGCCAAGGTGGCGGCTGGAGAACACGTCACCTGAGAATCAGATCATCAGCTCTGACAGATGCTTTGAAGAGAGGCGAACTACAGCTTTTCCATATGGCTGGAACACGATTGCTGGCTGATGCGTTGACGAAGCTGCTTCATGCTGTTCCTCTTCGTCGATTTTGCATTGGAATGGGCATGGTCTCTCCAAGTTCCGAGATGAAAGCTCTGAAGAGTTTGGATGTGAAGCCAGTTTCAAGTACTGGCATCAAGTCGAAGCTTGGTCAATGTCTGGGCTTGCTGATGTCGTGCCTAGCATTTTTGCCTGATGTTGGTGGTGTGTCCACCTCTGATGATGAGCCATCTTCAATGACTTTGGATTGGCCGTTGCTTTTGATGCTTGTTGCTGTGATAGCTTTGTGGTAGCTTTTGCGTTCTGTGGGCACCTGGGGCGTGAAGTGGGCCCTTGGAACGAAGGAAGATCTGAAGGTCAAGGTTCTATCTCATGAAGCTGTCCTTCCAGCTCGGGCTTCTCGCGATGCAGCTGGTTTGGACGTTTCCACGGTGGAGTCCTTTGTGTTGGAGCCTGGCGAGCGAAGACTTGTCTCAACTGGCCTTCAATTGGAGCTTCCTCCTGGCACCTATGGGCGTTTGGCTTCTCGCAGTGGCTTAGCATCTGGTTTTGGTGTTGAAGTTGGAGCTGGGGTGATTGACCCAGACTTTCGAGGAGAGGTCAAAGTGTTGCTTTTCAATCAGGGCCACCACAATGTCACGTTCAATCCGGGTGATAGGGTAGCTCAGTTGATTGTTGAAAGGTTCTCATGTGCTAGGGTTGTCCCTGTCAATTCTCTTTCAACCACGATTCGCAGCGCTGATGGTTTTGGCAGCACTGGAGTGAGCTCTGCAGCTATGGCAGCCGTGAGCAGATCCAGCGCTTCTGTCACTGATGGTGGTCTGCGATTGAGATCTTTGAGAACCTCAACCGATGTTGGCTTTTCTGCTAGCAGCTCTGCGGCCAGCTCCGATGCCAGAAGTCTGAGTCAACCGACTCATGGAAGTGAGCCAGTTTCATCAGATCCGTTTTTTCCATTCTGTGGCAGTTGGTTTGCTGGACCTGGTCAACTAATGGAGACCGTGATCCAAGCACGTTCTGATGAGTTTCGTAGAAACCTTTTGCCGTTTGATGATTGGAAGTTCAATATCCCACCTGTGTCTTGTGCTGATTCACGAAATGAATTTCTGATAGATGGTGAAGCGATTTCAGTGTTCACCCACGGAAAGTCTCGACAGAAGCTGTTCGATGTTAGAGTGGATTCCGACCTTTTTCGACCGGTCAGAGTCACATTGGCTTGGCATTGTGATGGGAAAGTACAGCTGACTGTAGATCGTCGAAACGGTTACCACAGTGAACTTTTGGCTTCAAAGTGGCGTGGGTACACCATAATGTACCATAAGAAGGCTTAAGCCCTGATGCAGTAGCCCCTATGCGAAGCATAGGGGGGGGAGTGCCTGCATCTGAATGGACACGCACAAATCTGAGAAGTGCAACATAGACGTTTGAGCCAGCTTGGATTGACATGGCTTACATCAAGCCTTTTTTGCCCGAGAAAACAGGTGAGATTTGCGTTTGATTTGGTGAGGTTAATATCATCAATCATTAATCATAACCATAACTATTATTCCATTATTAACTATCAACTAATTCCATAATATTGGTCTATCATGGTCTATCACACTCTTCGGAATTCTAACCAATTTTCATGTTGGATTCACTATCCAGGAATCGGTATTCCGAAGTGAAGACATCTTTTTTTTCACAATCCCCTTCTTAAACCAGCTAGACCCAGGATATTTTCCGAATTTGAACCACGATGTTGCCGGAACTATTCGTTCGAACATCTATGAAAATATGTTCGAACGTGGCGTGTAATTCATATCCCTGAAATATTCGAAAATATATTCCATGATAAATGTTTAGATATGTTGACTCATATATATATATATATATCATATACCATTATACCATGTATACATCAAATTATACCAATGTATGTACCATGGGATAACAGTGAGTCAAGTGAGTCAAGTGAGTCAACTTTCCCATGGGATCTTGGACATTGAAATCGTCTCCCATGGGAGGCACATCCGAATTTTCGATGCCGGACTTACCCGAGGTTTTAGAAAAACCAATGGCTGCTGAATCTGTTTTTTTTTTCTGGATGAATTCCTCCATTCTGTTGAACATCATCAAAACCGCTAATAAAAACCTGAAAATTATTGGTTGAATCCCCATGGAATCCCCATTTTTTAATGGTAAAAAATGGCAATATATCACCAATGTTTGCGAAAAAAAAACTTGTGCGTTCTCCTGTCACCAGATCTGTTTCAGAGATCCCCACCTGTGAAGATGCAAGACAACCTGAAGCACGTAACCACGGATGTGCCAATATCTATGGCACTATGGGCTGCTAAACCATGAAAAATATGGGCTTAACCATGCCAGGTGCCCAAAAAACTTGGCGACAAATTGCGAGAAATAACTAGGTCCGCTAGGTGAGCTATGCATGGTAGACATATCATGACATATCTATATGATATCTGGGTAAATTATAATATTTCACTAACCTGAATAGTTCGGCCATTTGGGGATGATTTCCCTTATTAAGCATGATTATAGTGAGGTCGCAGTGAGGTCATTATAATTTGACCAGACATATCTATGATATGCTCAACACATATCACATCTCGGGGGGCACCTACCCTTGCGGTTTTCCCGATGGTTTTCGGCAACAGGTCCGAGCGCAACGCGAGCGCAACGAATGCTTTGAACTCGAGCATTCACCAATTATGGGTCTTCATTTGGTCATTTTCAGAGGGAAACCAATGGTTTTAGGGGTTTGCTCCCATTCTTGAGACACACTTTTTTTTTCTCCAATTCTCCAATTCAACTGATGTTTCAGATTGTTTCAGTATATGTGGTGTTTCCAAATTTGTGCACCGAAGATGTGAAGAAAACTGGATGAAGTGAGCCACAGCTGAAACCACAAACGCATTGTAGCGCCATTTTTGGATGGCGAAAAAACCCTTGGTCTTGAAAACAACATCTGGCTACAACAAAACACCCAAAAAAAAAGTTTCTCGACTTCGGACGCTTGTGACAACATTTCATTTCTTCCCGGACGCTCGGAATGTTGGATTGTGAAGCAACCACGGTTTCACCATGATGCCGATGGAGCCCCCATTCTTTTAAGCTCCATCCAGTGACCCTGATGTTTCACCATGTTTCACCTCCATTTTTCAAAACTGATTAAGCCTCCAACTCTTCTCCATATGCTGAAAATCACCACTCAATCACCATTACAACTAAGGTGGTAAAACAACCCCTCTGAAAAATATGAGTGAGTAACAGTTGGGATGATGACATTCCCAACTGAATGGAAAATAAAATTCATGTTCCAAACCACCAACCAGATAGCATCTATAAATAAATGGTGGATTACTTCTATAACCAGATAGCATTATACCAAGATAAAGAAAAAGTCCCATATCATATCATAAAACATCCCAGTATATATCCCACTATATTTATACCACTATTATATATCATACCATAAATATATATATATATGGTCAGAAAATTTAGTCCCATATCAGAAAATATATATCCCACTATTATACCATTATATGGGGATGGATCAATACCTATTAATACCATTTTTAGGGGAGTGAACATCCATTTACCAGCTATTTTGATGTGAACTACAGGGGTACAAGGTTTTGACCCACTGCCATATATTTTCCATCGTAACCCCCCCAGCATTTCTTGCTGAAAAATCCCATCTCAATCTCGGCAACTGCTCCAGGCCAGCGCCAGCTGCCGCTTCATAACCTCTCCGTTTTTTGGCAAGAATCCATGGGAAAAAATGATCTGGGTAAATTATAATTTATAATATTTCACTAACCTGAAATAAGGCAATTTTGGGATGATTCCTCTTACTAACCATGATTCCAGTGAGGTCGCAGTGAGGTCGTTATAATTTACCCAGAAATGATGGGACAAAATGGGACACCTATGGAATGATTGACGATGATCGTACGGCATAAATTCAATGGGGAAAAAATGTATGATGATACAATGATACATCATTGGGAGTAAACTGAGCATGGACAAAGCCATCACCCATCTTGTCTTTTTTTCCGAAACTGGGCTCAGGTCAATTGGGGGTTGAAATTTCTGACCCATAGAATGACCCAAGTTATTCATAGTGTTATTTCAAGTGGTGTTTCAAACTATTATTTACTGGCATACTGCTATTCATACTCTAATTTCATCCCCCATTAAAATTATTAATAACTGTTGTTATTCATAGTGCTGTTATTATAGTGCTATTCTAATTTCATACTGTTGTTATTCATAGTGCTATTCTAATTTCTTATTACTGTTTATAGTTGTTATTTGGAGAAACACGGGAAGACAATCATCCCATCCCCCAATATTCAGCACGCGCTATAAATCTTTTTGGTCAATACGTGTAAATCCTCCACGAAAGAAACCTTGGTTTCTGGCTGGTAGTAGGCAGGGGGAAGGGATTTGTACCAAGAAATCATGCGGCAATCAGACCATCGGGATGGATACGTGACCTTACTCACAATCATTTCTTAAGAGAGAAGGTGTCTAAGGTCGTCCTTGTGCGTCAGCAAAAAGAGTGTCCTTGTGTTTTTCTGTGTCAATTTTGGGGGGTAGATTCTACGCCAATTGACGAGAAGTGTCACCTTAAAAAATCTCCAGTTGATCATGAAAAATCGCCAAAACCAGCGTTCGCTCGGAGGCTTTTGGATCCGATGAAACCACTAAGCCATTGGAAAACAGCCGCTATGCCAAGCCAATCAAGGTATCCCCATGCTGATCAAATCCCCAAACGCTTTGGTTAAAGATGTCCCATCTTTGAATATGTTTGGTCCGGAATTTGTTTATGTCATCTATCCTCTGGCAAACGAACTAACATAACGAACTGGAAAGATCCACCATGCTATTAATGGGAAAATCAATTAGTTCGACTGGGCCATGTTCAATAGCGAACACTTAGTTTACCAGAACGGTATATATATCAGTCTTTGTTGTGCCTAGTTTTTGTGGATGAAACCTACACCCCAAAAAAAAATAACCGGATCATTCAGCGCCCAGCGCTGCGCCTCGAGCGCAAAAGACGCTGCAGTTCTGTCCATTCACCACACCACCGCAGGTGTTCAACCATTCGGGGCGATCAAGATGGCTTCCTGGGCGAGCTGGAGCTGAATTTACCGCCTGGTTAAATGAATATTCATAGATGGATGGATGGATAGAACATTTTCATGAACATTTAAAGATAGATATGTACATAATATGATATGTGTGTATGTTCACAACTGTGCATTTTATGCGGGAAATGGGTATATACATGGATCACTTCTTAAAAAATAGAAATCAGTTCAAGAAAATGGTGGCAAGATGTGGCACGGTACAATCGAAATGGGTGTACTTAGAAATTCATAGACATACTCAACTCTGGAAATAGCTAGATACTGGTAGATACCCTCCTGTAAACGGATGTGGAAAACCCACCATATCCCACCAGTAGATCATTTTCTTTGAGAAATAACTGGTGTTCCACATCTTAAAATGTAGGTTTGCCCCAGGGTACCTCGGAAACAAACCAGCAAGACATGGTGAAGCGCGCTTCAGCACTGAAGCGTTGTTCTCAGTGGGTGGATTGGTTTATGTTCATCCCCAAACCAGTCAGTAGTATAACGGTATACCCTCTGGTAAACGTTTACATAACTATGGAAAGATCCACCATTTTTAATGGGAAAACTCACTATAAATGGCCATTTTCAATAGCTATGTTAGTTTACCAGAGGGTAACTATAAAGCGACATAGCTATGAAGCGATAATTTGGCTGAATTAACACACAATGCTTATTTTTACCAATTGTAAAAAAAAGAAGTTCGTAATAATTCACTGGTTGGTGGTTTTAACCATCTTGAAAAATATGAGTTTGTCAATGGGGAGGATGATCAATTCATGTGATGGAACATAAAATTCATGTTCCAAACCACCAACCAGATGAATATCATATTCCCATTGTTGTTAGTTTATAGCCTATTAACCACTATTAACCATCACTATTAACCAACGGTTAATCATCACTAGCACCATTATACCAAGCTGACGAAAAGTCTTCGGGATGATTCCATCAACTCATCAAGATGATATCATCCATTATCAAGATTCAAGTCCTTCAAGTTGATGAATCGAATGAACAGAGTAATTGAAAAAATGATTCAACATATTCAATATTAAATAATCAACCAAAGATATAATATCATAAAATATGATGCATTAAGAATTTAAGGTTTTATCAACTAGATTCAACATTTGATTCAACATGTGATCTAATTGGTGGTTGAGCCACCCCCTGAAAAA